GCCCCTTCCTGCATCTCCCCACACCCCTGTGCTTCTCCCCTACACAGGATGTCAGGGTCACCATTTCTGGGGCCTGGTTGGCCTTTGGTGGGTGTAGTCTGGTTTTGTTCTGGATTCATAGAGGAAGTCATGGGGGGTCCATCTACCTTGGAAGGGGGCACTGAGGCAGCTCTAGAGGAGCTTGCTGGGTGGGGTGTCACCTTGCCTGCAGGGCTGAGGAAAGGCCTAGGGAGTGCCGGAAGGACTGCCAGGCAGCTTCCGGGCGCCACAGCCAGGAAGGAGGGTTTACTCTGTCATTTATGGATGTGGAAGCGAAGGGACCTGTCCGAGAGATCGTGCTCACAGGGAGGCCCCGCAGTGCTCCACCTGTCTTCTGATCCCTTCACCAACCTGCACTTGACTTCTACACGGGGCCCAGGTCTGTACCAGGCACTCGGCTACAGAGACAAGGAAGACCCTTGGGGTCTCGAGGTCAAGAAAGGAGTGAGGGAGCAGGAAACTGCATCCTGCTTGGAACACCAGAGAGGGCTTCCTGGAAGTGGGGCCCTTTCACCGGGTTTTAGAAGATGACGATTGTGGGCAGGTGGAAGAGGCGAGGAGAAGGCCATCTTGGGCAGTGAGAGCGGCCCGAGCATTGGGCCATGGAGCAGGGGCGTAAAGGCATCTGGGGCAGGCTCGGCCTCTGTCCCCTTCTCCACCACCCTGACCCGTCTCCCTCCCTTTCCTGTAGGGTGAGCCGGATGCCCCTGAGCCCATGCACGGAGGAGAGGGGGGCGAATGCTTCCTCCCCTTGTCCAACACGGCCGTCTCGTCGGATCCTGAGAACTTCCTGTGGGAGAGGGAGACTGTCCCATCCAACCCCGTCCGGTCCTGGCTGAAACACGAGAGCGGCCGAGGTGAGGGTGGGGGCCCCCACCAGCTCCCCGCGGCCCCAGTCTCCGGCGACTGCTTCAGAGGGGCTGGCTGAGTGCTTTCCTTAGTGTCTTTGCCCAGACTATTACATTGAGTCCAGGAAGAACCGGATGGGTACTTGACAATAAAAGATGGGACTCTCAGGTCTGAGGTAACCATGACAAAAGATCAATAATACAGAGAGGTGAGTTAGCAATTATACCAGAAGCCCAGGAGATTCATGGTGAGCTCCTAGGAGCTGTGGTGAAAAGGGAAACAGGTCACACAAAGCTCTCATTAAACAGAAGGAAAATTATCCAAAATTACGCCAAATTATCATAGCGATTTTCTAGAGCTGAAATTGAGAGGTGTTTGTCCCACAGATCTCACAGAAGGAGATGTTGAACAACAGAAAGCCTCATGGCCTCAGTAGCCCTTTTGTAAAATGTCCTCAAACGTATCCTTCGGCCCTACCTTCAGCATCCTGTGTTTGTGCTTTGAGCTTCTGGCTGGGCTGTGGGCACGAGGAGAGGACCAAGTTCATCTGTTCATCGTTCGGGTTCACCTTCACCTCTAGTCCCCTTGGAGGGTGATGGGAATCTGGTTCCCCAGCACTGGCTGGGGAAGAGGGCAGAGAGAGGAGCTCAGCAGAAGAGAGACTCCCAAGACCCTGGGCCCACCCCAAGTACTTTTCTGGAAGGCCTGGCATGGAGTGCCTTCTGGGAGCTGGGGGTAGAGTGACTTTTCCAAGGACTCTCCCTAAAGCCAACCTTGGTGGTTGAGGTACCAAGACCCCAGACCCCAGGCTTCCTGGACCAGAAGTCAGGGCACAGGACCCAAGAGCCATTCTGATTGAATGAAATCCCATCCCCTTTAGTTAATCATTCATTTGTGTGTTCCTTAAATAATAAGATGATATAGAATAGGAACCCCTTCTCCCCCGGCTGGGGGCATTCAAACTGTCTAGCCATCTTGGCTCTGCCCCAGGTCTGCCCCAGCCCTCCTCTCACCCTCTCCTTGCCCCTCTCCATCCCCAGCGGAGCAGACCAGACAGGTCCAGCAGCATTCCGTCTGCTCTGCCCGTCCAGTGCAGTGCCCACCCTGCCCGCCCTCCCAGAGGGGCCCCCAGGTTTGGCTGGACCCCATGGGGTGTCCAGACCCTCAGAGGGTGGCTGATCATAGCAGGCATCTGCCGTGCACCTGGTCCCGGGCCGGGAGCCCCACAGCTGGCTCTTGCTCTTACAGCCTTCTCTCCATCCCTTCAAGTAGGCCTGTGGTCCCTGTTTCGCAGAGGAAGGGAACCAGGGGTCCTGGGGCCTGGGTCCGCTGGCTCCAAAGGCTTGCTTTTGCGCGTGCCAGGAGTCACAGGGGTTTCGCGGTGGAGACACCAACTCTCAGAGAGGGAGACTTACCCACGGTCTCACAGTCATTTTGTTAGGAAGCCCTCTCTGCCTGCGGGCCTAGAACCCAGCGTCCAGGGACCCACCAGCCTGAGCCCTCTCCCCCTCCTCCTCTCCTCCTTCCCCAGCTGCACCCCCGACTCCCTTCTCCCCGGATGCCTCCAGCCCGCTCCTGCCCATGCCTGCAGAGTTCTTCCACCCTGCTGTGTCCGCCAGCCAGAAAGGGCAGGAGAAGGTGGCTGGCGCTGGGACGCTCCCCAAGATTGCCCTGCAGGGCTCCTGGGCATCCCTGCGGTCGCCGAATGTCAACTGCACCCTCCTCCGGCAGGTATGGGCGCCTCCCCGTCTCCGGGAGCTCTCCTGCTGGGGAACATCTGAGTGTGACCTTGATGTCCAGGTGGAGGTGGAGGGGCAGATCTGGGGGATGGGAGGTCTGGCCTGCGGGACCTCCTGTACAGCATTGGCCAGGGCCACCTCCTGGGCAGGCAGAGGGCACAGAGCGGACAGGCTCTGTGGGTGCCAGGGCTCAGGGAGGAGCAGGAGCTGCCCCGGCTCACACAGTATGACAGCAGCCGAGCCGGGCACAGCGCTGGTCCCACCGCTGACCCCAGCTTTGTGCCAGGCTGTGTGCTAGGCTGGGAGGCTGCACGGTGGACCGCTTAGTTGCTGTGTTGCAGGGGTGCGAGAGGGGGGAATGGGAAGCCAAAATAAATGCATAAAAAGGACAGTCGACTTGAGAGTGATGCATGCTAGAGAGGATGTTGCATCGGGAAGGGGCTCTGCGGGGAGCATTTCCAGGCTCTGGGAAGGCAGTGTGGGGTGAGCTATGTGGGTGTCTGGGGAAGAGATTTCCAGGCAGCAGGGGCTGGGGCTGGGGGGTGGGGTTAGGGACTGGGGGCAGGCAAGGGGGAGATTGGTGGGAAG